TTCTTTCTTCTTTGTGTTTCTCTTTCTCCCTCTCCTTCTGTTAATCTGTCTCCCTGTTTGGGTCTACAACTGGGCTGGGCAGGAGGACCAGGCCCCTGGGAGCCCCCAGCATGGCCAAGGACAGTACCTGATATATAACAAGTACCCAGTAAAATGAATAAAATCCTACTCTGGGCAATGCTGGGGCCCCAGAAGCCACTGAGAGAGCCGGGATCCTGTCCTTGCAGAGCTCAGAGTCTGGGAGAGGAAGTAGTTATTGGTTGAATGGATTTATGAGTGAGTGAGCTAACTAACTCTCAGGCAGGCTTGGGAAACAAAACAAAAATTGGGTAAGGCACTTGAGGCATAGAATACTGCTGGAACAAAGGTCAAGGGCCCAGGAAGAGTCTGAAGAGCTGGGACATCTCGGAGAGAAGGCTGAGGAGTGCGGCAAGGGGCCTGGAGGCCACGAAGGGGAGCCCGAGCTTCCTCCTGAGGGCACTGGGGAGCCATGGCAGGTTCTAAGCTGGAGAGAGACTGGGGCAGTTTGTGCTTTAGCATTGCCACTCTGGCTGCCTGGCTGTCCTATGGGAGGGGGTGTTGCAAATGGGGAAAAAAATGGGGTGTGACTGGGGAGAGAGGGGCCCTGGACCAAAGCAGGGGCTGGGGGAAGATTCTAGAAGCCTGGAGGAAAAATGCGCAGACCGGCCTGTTCTCGCTGCTGGGAACGGAGGTTCGCACAAACACCAGGGGGCAGCCAAGGCTACAGGTTTGAATCTCTGCGTCTTTTCCGAGGGTGGGAAGGTTTACACCTCGCTTTGGAGGTGGTGGATTGGGGGGGAGTAGGAGATAACTGTGCCCCACCCCCCCTGCCTGAGAGCCCCTCTGCTCCCCTGCCCCCAGCCTGGCCTCTTGGGCCGCTGGAGCCCCCACCCCACCGGCAGGAGATTATGTCAACACAGCCCCGCTGCTTCTAGCCAGGACAATATTTGCCCTCAGGATCGGGGAGGTCGCTATGGAAACAAAAGGCAGGGTGTGGGGGGAGCATCCCCTCTGGGAAGAGGGCTAGGGGTGCTGGGCACCTCTGCCTCATCTCTGACTGTGTCTTTGGGAGAGTTTACCTCCATCCCCGTCTGTCTGCTTTCCAAATCTCTGTCTGGACCATCTCTTCATCCCTGGCTCTGTCTCTCTCTGGAAACCTGTCTGCAGGTCTCTGTCTCTCTGGGGGGCCATCTCTGTGGGTCTCTGTCTCTGTTCTTTCCTGTCTCCCAGCTCTAGGCTTCCGCATGTCTCTGTCTCTCTCTAGGTTTCATGTCTCTACGTCTCAGTCTCTCTTTGGGTCTTTGTCTCTGTCTCTCGCTTAGATCCCATGTTTGTGTTTGTCTCTTGAACCCTGTCTCTGGACCCCTGTCTCTTTTCTATCTCTGGGTTCCTGCGTTTTCTGGATCCTATTTGTGTGTACACGTAGTGTGTGTCTCTGTGGGTCTCTGTCTTTCAGGGCTCATCTATCTGCAGTTCTGAATCTCAGGGGGGCCCCCTCAGCCTCCCATTTCTGGCCTCAGTCCCCATGGGGTGCCTCCGCTCCCCAACTCTCTTTGCCTCATTTCTCCTGTACCATCTGCTGGCACTCCGGGCCCCTGCCTGCTCCCTACAGGCTCTGCTTGGCCGCAGCCCCAGCGGGGGCAGACGCAGGCCTTCCAGCAACTTCCCTTGAGGGGCACTGCCTGCTCCTGGCTGGGGGGTGGGGCGACAACGGCACCCCGCCAAGATCCAAGACCTGAGGCAATGGAGAGAGAGAGAAACTGAGAGACACTGAGCGCTGACAGGAGATGGGACAAGGGGAAGGGAAAGGAGAAAGGTTAAAGATGGGAAAAAGAGAGACCCGGAGAACAGAGGTGTGGGATTCAGAGAGGGCTGTGTGTGTGTGTGTGTGTGTGTGTGTGTGTGTGTGTGTGTGTGTCTCCTGTCCCCTCCCCAGACCCTGGGAGACTGTAGAGGACCCAGGAGGGCTGCAGTGCGCAAAGGGCCAGTCAGGGACCCAGGCAGCACACCTCTTGTGCACCCCATGCTCCCTTCCCCCCCCCGGGGTCCCCCGCAGGGCTCCGGGTGAGGACCTCTGAGCCCCAGCAGAGTCCTGGCTCACTCACCCCTCCTCAGGCCCCATCATTCAGGCTCACTCTCCCTCCATCCTCCCTGTTTTCCTCTCAATGTGGTCTGCGCTCTGTCCCTGTCCCCCTCCCCTATATCTGTCTCTGTCTTTCTCCCTGTCTTTCTCTCTCTGTGTATCTTTCTCTGTCTCTTTCAATCTCTTTCTCTCTCTCTGTCCTTGTCTGTGTTTGTGTGTGTACTTCTATGTCTCTGTCTCTTTCGATATCTTCCTCTCTGTCTCTCTCGGTTTCTTTTGTCTCTCTCTCTTCCTGTCTGTCTGTCTCTGGTCTCTCTGGGCCCTTAGTTTCCCTTCCTGTCTCTCTCACCACCTCAATTACTCTTCACTGCTTTCCCCTTCCCCAGTCTCTCTCCTCCCCCTTCCTAGCCTCCCCCCAAGGTCCCAGCCCTAGCTGAGTGCCCCCCCCCTCCACCCTCGGCTCTCTTGGGGCCAAGGACAGACTCCCTCCCAAGCCCAGCCTCTCCCCGAGGTGCTTGGCTATCTCAGACCCCTCTCCCTCTCCACTCCGTGAACTAAGCCTTTCCCAGGACCCAGAGGGCGTCAGGAATGTGGGGCAGAGAGCAGGGAGGCCAGCTGGAGGCCAGGGAGCCGGGACCACCCCCCTGACCACCCCCCTCTCCCAGACTTGTCTCCTTCCCACTCCTGGTGCTGGACCTTGCATTCCTCCTACTCCCCGCCCCTGCTGGCACGTCAGGGCCTCAGTTTCTCCTCTGCAAAGTGGGCACATTCACCTCTGCCCCACTTAGTCCCTGGGTCCCAGGGGACGGAGTGCTCCTGAGTGTTACAAGTTGACTAATGTGCATGCATCGGCGGTTTGTATTACTGGGAGATGAGAACATTGAGAACCGGCACGGCACTCGGCACTCGGTTTCTAAGGCTTCCCCCATCCTGTACAGACGCTCCCCGTTCCCCATATTTTAGAACAAAGGAAGAGACTGGAAGTGGAGACTGTGGGAAGGTGTGTGATTTGGTGGCGTCTGTGACCGTGAGACCCTGTGTGGCTGTGGGTTTGTGTGTGAAGGTGGCATGATGGGGTGTGATCCTGTGTGTGTCCGTGGGGCGTGGGACACCATGAGGGTGGCACAGTGGCATGCGATGTGTGTGTGACTCTGTGGGACTCGTGAGCATGGGTGAGGATGGGGAGCAGAGTCGTGCATCCCTACCACCGTGGCACTGGGTGTGACCGTGTGATGGTGACAGCGTGACAACATGACACCCTGAGAGTGTGGGCCTTATTGACGGTTGGGGAAAGTGTGTTGTTCGGGTGTGGCTGTGGACTCTGGGGACCGTGGGAACTGTGAGAGTGTTGATGGGTAATGGTTGCATGACCTAGTGTGGGGCCTGCAGCGGGGGAGGGCAAGGATTATATGCGCAAGGGACCGTGTGTAGGTGTGTGTATGTCACTATCGGGGTCATCCTTCCACCCTCTGCTCCATGCCCAAGCCTGTGCTGAACGGCTCTGGGGACCCAGTGGGAACCGCAGGCCAGTGGGGAGACGAGACCTAGTGATTGTGCGACTGACACGGTGTCACAAGAACTGTGGGAAGCCGTGATTTCGTGGCTCTGTGAGCGGAGTCCAGGCGCAGGGCTGTGTCGCTGTCAGCCTGGTGGGGGGGAGACCTCAGCTCTCTGAGTGACTGCGGCTGTGTGCCCTGGCTGGGTGGGATGGGCAGGTCAGTGGGAGAGACTGTGACCCCGGCTCCGTGACTGCTCTTCCACGTGACGCTGAGTGACTCTGATCCTCGTGCACCACTGCCCCCGCTCCCAGGTCTCTGCCCCAGAGCTCCCCCTCCTGTTCCCTGGCCCCGCCCTCTCCCACCACCCCAGGCTGTCACCTCTTCCAGAGCCCAGGCGAGGGAGGCTGTAGAGGCAGCAGCAGAGGCGGCAGCGGCAGCGGCTGGAGGGAGTGACCAAGAGCAGATCTGGGACAGGTGAGGGCTTTCCCAATCCCAGCCTGTCCCCCCGCCCCCATGTTCCACTCAAGCCTCTGGGGTCCCTGTTTCTCTGTTTCTTAGCCCCTGCCTTTGTCTCATAGTCTCTCTGTGCCTGTGTTCTCTCTTCTCCAGTCTGCCCGTCTCTCCATATCTCTGTCTCCATGTCTCCCCATCTCTGTTTAGCCTCTGGATGGCTCTGATTCTGTACCTTCATCTCTCCTTGCCCCATTCTCTGTGTCTCTCTCTATGTCTCTAGCCCCTCTTTGTCTCCTAGCCCACACTGTATCTGTCTTTTGCTCTCTGATCTCTTGCTGCATGTCTCATTCTGCTCAGCCTGTATGTCTCTCAGTCTCTATTTCTGTTTCACCCATTTCTGGGGCTCTGTCTGAGATCTCCTCTGCTTCCCCCTTTCTCCACAAGGTGCTGTGGGGGGAGGAATTGGGGTTAGACTAATTTTCAGGCATCTGGGCCCCTGCAAGCCCAGGGTCTGACTCCTCTCTGGTCCCTAGGGAAAGGGTTGTTCCGTTGATTCTGGGCTTCATGCACAGCCGGCAAGTTTTATAGGGTTGGGATCCTATTTGCCATTTGAGAACCCTCTGGGCTTAGACAGCAGGAGCCCTGAGGGTCCTTCCAAGCTCCACGCCTGACGGTTACTTGTGCCCTCCTCTCCCAGGCAGTCCCCCAGGTTCCCCAGAATCTCTAGATCTAGACTCCCGGTGACATTAGCGCTTCCGCAACCTCACCCTCAGCAAACACCCCCCTTCCCCCTTCCCCCTCCGCTGCCCCAGCAACAGTTGGGGGCGGGTCTGGGAATCACGTGCTGGATCTTGGCCACTCCCACTCTCTCCCCACCCCTCAATTCACCACTCGTGGGGATGGAGGGGGGCACTGCCTCCTAGTCCTCCTGTTCGAATCGCGGAGCGGGTGGCGCCGGGGCTGGAGGCGGAGGGCGGAGGCTCCTGACTCTGTGCCCTGACCCTCCAGGCCGGACTGCCCCTTCTAGACCAGCCCCTCCGCCCCCGATGCCCCGCCGCCCTCACGATGCTGAACTGTCCGCCTTGGCGGCTGCTGCTGCTGCTCTTGTGGTGGGGGCCGCTGCTCCGGAGGGCGAAGGTGAGGACCCCGACGAGCCACAGGAGTCCAAGGCTAGGAGGGAGGTCTGGGGACAGTTTTGAGGCTCCCCCCGCGGCAGAGAGACTTTTAAGACTGCCCACCTGTCCAGATTCAAGTTGTTTCCAGTCTCTCTTCTTTCCCCCTCAAATCTTCTTGATGATTTCCAGCCGCTCCTTCCCCTAATTTTCCTGAAGGTTTTCAGCCTCTTTCCCCCCCCCACCCCACCCCGCCCCAAGTAACTCTCCTGGTCTAGGCATCACTTAAGACCTAGAAGAGGTTTCTAAGTCACCCAAGACTCCCGGACAGAACAGGGCAGCCTCGTCAAGTCTCTGTAGGGTGTTTCTAGCCCACACGAACCGTGCTGTCTAGGAGGCGGGGGGTCGGTCGGAGTTGGGGGGGCCTCCCTCTTCTCTTTCCATAGACAGGCTCTGTCGGGGAGACGGCGGGGGAGCTGTACCAGCGCTGGGAACGGTACCGCAGAGAGTGCCAAGAGACGCTGGAAGCCTTGGACCCCCCAGCAGGTTTGACTAGGGGGGCGGAGACTGGGGGACAGGGGAAGGACTGGGGCTGAGAGGGGTGTGCTTGAGGCGGGGCTAGGATTGACGGACGGAGCCTGAGAAGTCTGGGGTAGAGGTGGGCTGTGTCGGAGTGTCCTGTGTGATGCTTGGCTTCGGTGGGAAGGACCTAGACCTGAGTGGCTGGGGAACTGCGGCACAACGTGGATTAGTGGTAGAAGCCCGGGTAGAAGCTCGAAATGGGCGGAGTCTCCGGCGGGGCTGCAGTCAGGTGGGTGGAGCCTGAGTGGACGGTGGATGGGGCGGGGGCGGGGGTGTCTGGTGGGAAGGGCTGTGACGGAGCCCGGGACTGGACGACCCCAGGTGGACGGGGCCAGGGCAGAGCTTGCTTGGGAACCGCGGAGAAGCCTTGGTCTGGGTGCGGTTCATCCACCCGATGTCTGGCCTCGACGCCCACCTCAGGCCTCGCCTGTAATGCGTCCTTCGATATGTACGTCTGCTGGGACTACGCTGCCCCCAACGATACTGCCCGTGTGTCCTGCCCCTGGTACCTGCCCTGGCACCGTCATGGTGAGGCGTCCCCTGGACCCCGGGCCCACCCCTGACAAAATTAGCTCCTGCCCCTTCCCTAGACACCACTCCCAGGAGTTTGCCTACACTTGATCTCCAGCACCTTTCTGTCCAGCTCGGTGTCTCCCCCTGCCTGACCAACCCTGGCTCTGTCACTTAATGCCCCTTCTCTGTCTCTTTATCTCTCTGAGGACCAAAGAGTTCTTATTTTCTCTGGGCATCTTGGTCTTCCTGTCCTAACTAGCTGTTTGGCCTACAGCAACTTACTTAACTTCTTTATGCCTCAGCTTCCTCTTCTGTAAGATGGGGTTGATAATGGTATCATTTTTATAGGCTTGTTATGAATATTAATTTAATTATACACATAAGGGTTTATTATCAGCACATCACTTTGGCTATCTCTGCCTTTGTATTACTTTTGTCTTTCTGTTTCATTCTCTGTGCCTCTGACCCCTTCTTTTGTTTCCCCCACAGTGGCTGCAGGCTTTGTCCTCCGCCAGTGTGGCAGTGATGGCCAATGGGGACCTTGGAGAGACCATTCGCAGTGTGAGAATCCAGAAAAGAACGGGGTCTTTCAGGTAAGAAGCAGTGAGGGATTCAGGTCAGGATGTGCAGGGAGAGATGAAAAGGCAGCTGCCTCAGGCCAAGCCTGAAACCCCTTATACTATTCAAGATTCTAGGTTCCAAGCAATAGAAACCCAACTTAAACTTGCTGGGTGGAGAAAGAAGGAGAAATGTATTGGCTTCTGTGATTGAAAAGTATAAAGTATCAGCTTCAGGCACAGCTGGATCTAGGTGCTCAATGATGTTGGGAATCTTTTTGTCTTTCAACACACCATGACTTTGTTTTTCTCTGTGATGATCTCATCTGTTCTGGGGGATGGAAACTGTGGTCCTCATTATTTAGCACCAGGCTCACATCCCACCAACCAAACAAGACTGGGAAACTGAACTTTGTTCTTAATAGCTCTAACGTAATGTCCCAGGACCAATACTTTGGATCATGCATCCAGCCTGCACTAATCACTGTGTATGTATGTGTGTGTGTCTGCATGTGTAGGAGGTTATAGAGAATGTTGGGCAGGAACAAAAAGCAGGGTCCCTTTCTGGTCCTGAGTGGAAGCACTGAACTGTTCCTGTGTCCTCCTACCCTCCTGTAACCCCCGCTCCCTGACCCTGACCTAGGATCAGCGGCTGATTCTGGAGCGGCTGCAGGTCATGTACACCGTGGGCTACTCCCTGTCCCTCGCCACGCTGCTGCTAGCCCTATTCATCTTGAGTATCTTCAGGTGCGACCTCCAGTCTTGAGTAACAGCAGCAGGGCCTGGGCCTCAGTGAAGCCAGTAAGATGGTGTGGTCAGGCTCCACGAGCGACAGGCCTCCAATGGGGTTCTGCGGGAAGGGCGGGGAGGTGATTTAAGGGACTCTGTGTGGCCGAGGACAGGTCTCCAGGGGTCCCCAGACTGTGTCCCAAATCCCGTAGGCGGCTACGCTGCACTCGCAACTACATCCACATCAACCTGTTCACGTCTTTCATGCTGCGGGCGGCGGCCATCCTCACCCGAGACCGTTTGCTACCTCCACTGGGCCCCTACCCCGGGGGCCAGGCCCCTGTCCCGTGGAACCCGGTGAGCAGCACCCCTCTCTTTCTCAAATTGGGATTCTGCCTCCTCTGGTGGGGCCAAGAGGCTGCCAGCCCATTTACTACTTCCTACACCATCAACAGTTTCTCTCTCTTGACCTCTCCAAACACATTTGGAGAGGGGTCCTCCCGGCTCAGCCTCCTCCATCACCCGCCCCATCACCTACTATATGTGGCTTTTCCCTTACTTGGCTCTCATTATCTCACCCCTCCCTGGACTTTTCCAGCAAGGAGGGTCCCTTGCTGGAGGTGAGGCTTGGCGAATGGGAGAAACTAACTGGTAGGGGCGGGGATTTGGTAGATAGCAATTTGTGACTGTGAGACAAAGGTGGGGGAGGCTAGAGGCTGGGGGCTCAGGTGAGAAAAACTTTCTGGTAGTGAGATGCTACGGGGTGGAGGAGTTCCCATGCTGGAGGGACAAGGGTGACGGGGTGGGAGAAACTTTTTGATAGGTGAAGTAGTTGAGTTCAATTTTTAGAAGGTGATGAGGTGGGAGAGGCCATATTTGGGGGCCCACGTGTGGGGTGGGGTGGGGTGGGGGGAGGGGACTCTGATAGCAAGATGGAAGATACCAGTTGTTAAAGAGGTAAAAGCGGGACAGCTCACAGAGGGGAAGAGAATGGAAGAGAGAAATCAATCCCAGACACCAACCTCTGGTGCTGCAGAGCGGGAAGTGAATAGTGGCTGGCAGATGGAGGCGGAAGGACGACCAGGTGGAGGAGGAAGGCTTGGGGACACCCTGGAGGCCCTGACCGCTCCCTCCCCCTGTCCGGCCAACCCCTAGGCCCTCGCTGCCTGCCGCACAGCCCAGATCGTGACCCAGTACTGCGTGGGTGCCAACTACACGTGGCTGCTGGTGGAGGGTGTCTACCTACACAGTCTCTTGGTGCTTGTGGGAGGTTCCGAGGGGGGCCACTTCCGCTGCTACCTGCTTCTCGGATGGGGTGAGCCCCGACCCTGTCCCCTGCCCAGTCCGGTGCGCCTTCACTCCCCGACTCCCCTGCTGGTCTACCTCAGGGGGTCTCCTCCCCTTTCTGGGCTTCTGCCTCCCCACCCCGGCGGGGGAAATTCCGCGGGTCTTGGGCCTGGCGGGCCCGTGCGCGCGCTGACAGCTGCGGCGGGGTGGGGGGCGGGGGTCGGGTCTGCACAGGGGCCCCCGCGCTTTTCGTCATTCCCTGGGTGATCGTCAGGTACCTGTACGAGAACACGCAGTGAGTCTTGGGGTCTGGGGTGGGGCCTGGGAGGCGGGCGGAGTTTTGAGGGACTCGGGAGGGTTGTGATGGAAAAGTGGGGAGCTTTGGAGGGCACGTGCAGGCAGGGGCTTGGAGGGGGTGGGTAGGATCTAAAGGAATGGGGAGCTAGGAAAGATGGTGTCCTGGAAGGAGGGGGGCGGAATGGGGGCGGAGCCTGTATAGTAGCAGGCGGGGCTTTAAAGGAACGTGGGTGTGGCATTAAGGAAAGTGGGCGGAGCTGGCGAGAGAGGGTGTGTGATCCAGGGAGACGCGGGTTTTTCTCTTAGCTCCACTCTTCCTCCCCCAGGTGCTGGGAACGGAACGATGTCAAGGCCATTTGGTGGATCATACGCACCCCCATCCTCATGACCATCTTGGTACGGCCGAACCTGACTCCAGGCCACCCTCTGGAAACGCTCACCCTGGGAAACAGGGCGCCACCCTCTGCCCCCCAGGACAGGATGGGGATGACTCAGCCTCTATCTCTCCCTGCAGATTAATTTCCTCATCTTCATTCGCATTCTTGGCATCCTCGTGTCCAAGCTGAGGACGCGACAGATGCGCTGCCCCGACTACCGGTTGAGGTGAGGGAGCGGGGCTGGGATGGAGGGAAAGGGGCGGGTGCGAGATGGAGGACCTGGGTCCACGGGACCACTGCCACCCTCTACCCCCAGGCTGGCTCGCTCTACGCTGACGCTGGTGCCCCTGCTGGGCGTCCACGAGGTGGTGTTTGCTCCGGTGACAGAGGAACAGGCCCGGGGTGCCCTGCGCTTCACCAAGCTCGGCTTTGAGATCTTCCTCAGCTCGTTCCAGGTGCCAAGGCGCTAAGGCGGGTGCAGGGGCTATACCCTTCGTCCTGGGCCCCTCCTCCCCAGGCACGGGGTCCACAATCGTCCAGTGATGCGGCCCCTGAATGGGGTGTGAACATGTTCACGTGTTCATTCAAACATTCTGCACAAAACTGAGCTCGCTCTGTCCTGAGCTGGGGAGGCGGACAGACCAGGAAGCCTCAGCAGCACTTCCCCCTAGTGCAGATGGAGGGCTCTGCAGCCCCGCGCGACCAGGGCCAAGTTCAGGTTCTGCCGCTTCACCGCTCTGTGGCCTTCTCCTAGAGTCTGAGCTACGGTGAGGTAAATGGGGTGCCGACGGCCCAAAATGTAAGGAGGCACTCCAAAATTTAAGGCCAACCCTGCACTTGCCCTGCCTGACCCTAGTCATCATGCCGCTTTTCTTTGTCGGGCCTCAGTTTCCTCATCTCTAAGTGGGAACAATACTAATCTCACCTCACAAGGCTGTTCATTCATTAAATTCGGCAGAAATGTATTGAGCCCTTACTGTGTACCGAGCACTCTTGGAGGCCAAGGGCCAAACGGTCCCTAACCTGTAGCGGGAGAGACAGATGCTAAACATGCTATATAAATAAAATATACAGAGTGTCAGACGGAGAGATGTGCTTAGAAGGGAGGGAGCAAGAAAAGAGAGGAGCAGACAAAATATGGGGTTATAAACAGCTGGTGAGAGCCTCACCGAGAAGACATTGGAGCAGAGACCTGGAGAGAATAAGCCAGGCTGGCAAATATTTGGGGGAAATGTTCCAGGAAGAGAAAAGTCAAGTGTGAGATCCCCAATGTGGGAGAGAGTAGCCTTCCTGATGGAAGAAGGGCAACATGCCCGAGGCGGTGGGAGCCAGAGGCAGCAAGGGGAGACACGACAAAGAGGTGAGGTACTCAGGCAGATCCTTGGGCCAAGTGAGTACCTTGGCTTTGACCCGAGGGAGTCAGGAGCCATGGGAGCAGAGGGATGTGATCAGATTTAGATTTTTAACAGGATCATGGAAATTAATAGCAAGATTTGTAAGATCTTAACATAAAGAATTGATTTGTATTACTTTATCAAGTAACATTAGTAAGTAGATTTTATTTTATTTATTTATTTTTAAAGATTTTATTTGTTTATTTGACAGAAATCACAAGTAGTCAGAGAGGCAGGCAGAGAGAGGGGAGGAAGCAGGCTCTCCATGGAACAGAGAGCCTGATGTGGGGCTCGATCCCAGGACAATGAGATCACGACCTGAGCTGAAGGCAGAGGCCCCAAACCACTGAGCCACCCAGGCGCCCCTATTTTATTTTTTTAAACGATTTTATTTATTTATGTGATAGACAGAGATCACAAGTAGTCAGAGAGGGAGGCAGAGAGAGGAGGAAGCAGGCTCCCCGCTGAGCAGAGAGCCCGATGAGGGGCTGATCCCAGCACCCTGAGACCATGACCTGAGCTGAAAGCAGAGGCTTTAACCCACTGAGCCACCCAGGGGCCCCGTAATTAGATTTTATAAAGTTTATATGTAAAATGTATACTTAAATAAAGATAATTCTTAAGTAAAAATAATTTATTAATATATTTAATATATATAATAATGTTATAACAAGTTTAAGGTTAACGCTATGTACCAGGCACTCCAGCTTCCTGCATATTATTACAATTCTCACAACCACCACTGTATTATGACCCCATTTTCCAGATGAAGAAATTGAGGCCCAGAAGGGTTAAGTGCTTGCCCAAGTGGGTCAGAAAGTGGGGAAGCAGTTCTCGTATCTTGGCAGCCTACCTCCAGGGTCCCCTGTTAACCCCCTCATTGCTCAGCAAACCCGGGAGGGCAAAGTGGGGGCGAGGGAGAGGGTGATTGAAGCGGTCTAGGACTGGGGTGGCGGCAGCCGAGGTGGTTTGGGACCCGGTAAGGATCCGAGCTCACTCGGAGGGTATTTGCGATCGTGCCCCCACTCTCCGGTTAACCTCTACGCCTCCTCCTGGCAGGGCTTCATGGTCAGCGTCCTGTACTGCTTCATCAACAAGGAGGTAGGGACAGCCCCGGCTCGCCGTCCGCGCCCTCTGGCGGCCGCGCAGGGAACGGACGGGAGCGCGGGGAACGTTCTGACCGCGGTCGCCCTGCAGGTGCAGTCGGAGATCCGCCGCTGCTGGCACCGCAGTCGCCTGCGCCACAGCCTCGGGGAGGAGCGCCGCCAGCCATCGGAGCGCGCCTCTGGGATCCTGCCCTCCGGCTCAGGCCCCTGCCGGGGGGCCCCTGACTGCGCCCTGTCCTTGGGAACCCTCCCAGGGCCTGGGGATGAGGCCAGCCGGGTCTTGGAAAGTTACTGCTAGGCAGCGGGATGCTGTGTCCATTCGAGTTCGCATGCATTTGTTGAGAGCCTACTGTGTACCAGGCCCAGCATGGAGGGCGCTAGAGAAACTAGGGTGTGGTGGGAGGGGGAAACAAGACAAGGTCCCTGTTCTCCTAGAGTTCACAGGTCATAATGGGGCGGGGCTGGGCAGCTAAGACAGATAAGTTAGACACACACTCTGGAATTAGAAGGGAGCCTAAGGTGGTCCAGGAGGGCATCTCTGAGGAGGTGACACTTAAGCCATGCCGGCAAGAGGTGAAGGAGACCCTCTGGATAGAAGATTCTAGGCTGAAGGAACAGCATCTGCAAAGGCCTTTCCATAACAAAGAGCTTGGTGCTGCCTGAGGACCAGACAGGACCAGACGCTGCCATGTGATGAGACAGATTACTAGGGACAAGAGAGGTAGCTGCGGAGGGTTGTGAAGTGGTCAGGCGCTGGTGGTATTTAAAGGCAGAACTGAGAATTTGCCATTGCTTTGCAGGAGGGAAGTGCATCAGGAGAAGTCAAGAAAGACTCCTAGGTTTGGGATGGTGGAGAGAGATGGGATCAGGGTGGGGTGAGTCAGGTGCTCTCTGGGCAAGTCAGGCTGGGAAAAAGGCCCTGGAGCTCACAGGAGAGGTGAGAGATGGAAAGAGAAATGTGGGCGGCGCTGGGGGGACCAGAAAGGAGGGTTTGGTGTGTAGACTAAACAAGAGCCATTCAGGGCAGGCCTCAAGAGCTGAAAGCAGGACCACTGCTGGCTGGGGTCCCGGGGAGGGGTGTGGTGGATGCACCTCCCCCATTCCTGGGCAGCCCCTGGGGAACTAGGAGAACTAGGGAGAAGCTGACAGCCTGTATCTGGACCACCTGTACACACAGAAGACTCTCGCTCCTAAATCCGTCCCCCACTCAGATCTACACTCAGATCCAGTTAGCACCTGGGTGTTGCTTTCCTTAGGGTCCCCAGCCCCCCTGGACAGATGTGCCCCGCAGCAGCTGGAGTCCTTCAAGCTTGGGATCGTGTTCTAAGGCCTTGTCATTCAAGCTTGAGAAACAGCTCTATCTTTGCGCATCGGAGGTGTGTGGGAGAATCTTCTTGGCCAGGGCATCAGGAGAAACAAGAGGCAGGCTGCGTGCCTGTGGGGACCTTGCAGTCTCTGCAGCCATGTGCCGCCCCTGTCCCCCATGCCTAAGAGAAACCCCTGCTGGGATTGCTCATGTGATCTCCCGTACTTAACTATTTACAGTGTATACAATTAAAATCATGTGTATGTGCCAAACATTTTCCCAGGGCTGCTTCTCTAAATGGTAGTGTAGGAAGAGTAAGACTGCAGAAACCAGCCAGGCCCAAACTCAGTTTGGCTACTTGTTAGCGGTGCGACTTGGGGAAAAATTCCCAGCCTCAGTTCCTACTTCTGGAAGGTGGGTATAATGATGATATCTACATTTTTACGGTTGTCTGAGATTCCAGTGAGTCATTCTTAAGATAATTCCTGGTGCACGATGCGTGCTTTTCCTGCAATTTCTGCTCTCGCTTTCACCCAATGAAGGACGAGGTGATTAGAAGCCATTTGGGCAGGGCTGGGTGAAGACGTGAGGAAACAGCCTGAAGCCCAGCAGGGTGCCCGAGGCCGGAACCTGTGCTGCCCGCCCGCAGGGCAGGGATCTGAAGCCAGGACTGGGACTCCAGAGCCTGTGTTGTCCCAGCTCCTGCACAAGAATCGAATCCTTGCAGGGGCGGGGAGTGGGGCAGGAGCATCTCCTGCAGCAGCACCACTGCCCCCACATTACACATAACTTGGCTCCGTCATTTCCTGAGTAACCCTGGGCAAGTCACTCACCCTCTCTGGGCCTCAGCTATCTCACCTGGAAAATGGCTCTAATATCTGCCCACTAGGTGACTGTTCCCATTAGATGTGGGCCACTCAGTAAACGTGCATCTTTATAACCTCACAGCTGTCGCCCCGTGTCAAGCTTCCTCTTCCTGTCACTACCGGACTCATGGACTAACTCAGGATGTGCCTTCCACAAGTCATGGTATCAGACATCTCCTTTCATCCTGATCTGAGGCCTGCAAACTCCCGCACCCACCTGGTGTTTGGTCTTATCTGGAGAACAGAGCGAGAGATATAGGCAGAGACAGAACACAGAGACACAGGTTGGGAGCACACAATGTGTGCGTATCAGAGCAAGACCAGGATCTTCCTTATCCCCCCACAATAAGTGAGAACAGCCCTTCCCATCTCTATCTCCCCACACTGGTCAGAGAATTTCTCCCAGGGCTAATGACGTTGTAATTTGAGGCCAGTGGAGCTCAGGGTTAAGCCTCAGGCTCTGGAGCAGGGTGGGGTTGAATTACACCATCACCACTTCCTGGCTGGGTACCCCTGGGTAAGTGCTCACCCCTCTCTGTACCTCAGTTTCCTCCTCTGGAAATGGAGGTCTTCATTAACAGTATCTGCTCACGGTGGCTGAGAAGAGGTCAGATCAGCACAGAGGCTAGGGCCTGGCACCCTAACAGCTCGGCAGGTGTTAGCCGCGATCGCTACCAGTATTTGGGTACTGGTTGCTCTAACTAGATCCTCCTCCTCCTGTCAGTGAGGGCCGGTCGGGGCTCTTCTGGGTGCTGCTGGGTCCCCAGCACTGCAACACAGACCTGGCAGAGGCGGCACTCTGTTTTCTACTGTTTTCTACTGAACAAATGGAAAAGACTGCAAGAAGTTCTGAGCTAGACCTCAGCTTACTGAGAGAGGGGCAGAGGGAGGGAAGAGAGAGATGCAGTGATGAGGAGAAGCTAGAAAAGATTAGGAAAGGAAAGGAAGCTCTCTGTATCCAGCCCACTTGCTTCACAGATGGGGAAAGTGAGGCCCCAGAGAGGCAGAGATGTCCTAACCCCAAGGACCCGGCCCCACACCTAGCTGCCTCCCTTCCCCAAGTCTGACCTGCTCGCAGGCTCTGGGAACAGACAGATGCCACTAGAAAAAACACAGGACTTTATTATTCCCATTACAAAGGGCAGGTGTTCGCAGGATGAGGGCAGGAATTCTGACGGCAGGGAGGAGGCCCCTACTTGCCAGCGATGAGCGGGTTCCGCAGGACCACGATGACCGAGTCCCCGCGCAGGAACATCTTGGAGATGTAGCGGTCCTTGTTGACTGGCTTGGACTTCTTCTTGCCCTTGCCACTCTTAGGGACCTCGGTCCACATCTCCTTCACATTCTCCAACACCATGTTGCAGTGCCTGGGATGGGGGGAGGCACCGGGATTGAGGGGGGAACCTTCCACCCGCCCCTCTTCCAGCAGCACCCACAGAAGGTGCAGGCCTGGGACCAGGACAGCTGGGGCTCCCACGCCACCTCTGCCAGTCCTCAGGCTGAGGCCTGGGCAAAGAACTTCACCCCTTTGGGCCCCAACGTCCTGCTCTCTAAAATGGAGCCGTTCCCAGAGCCCCCTCATAGGGCTGCCGTGAGGATAAGTCAATACAGCATTCTCTCGTAAAGACTCAGAACAGGGCCGCTGCCCAAGGTAAAGGTAACCAAAATGGGTCTGCTTGAGTTTCCGAACTCCAAGGACTTCCGAAGGCATCAGCAAAGGAGCCGCTTCTCTGCGGAACCAGAGGCCCCTGGGGCCTCTGAGGGTACACGACGCCTCCACTGCCGGCCCGCGTGGTCCCTGTCTCCTCACGGTGCCAGAGGGACACGTGTGAGGACAGGATGGATTGGCTCACTCCGCAGGCACTTAAAATGAATACAGCTCTGAAGCAAACAGAAGATATCCCTGCCCTGACTGGGTCTGCATTCCAGTGAGGAGAGAAGAAGGCTACAGAAGTCAACAGACGGCCCCGATACACTGTCAGATTATGTTACCTGCTATGAAGAACAGTTAAAGTCAGGCGAAGGGATAGAAGGATAGAAGGAAATGTTACCAAGTGGCAAGAAAACAGAAAATAGTTAGGAAGAGCTGGGAAGTTCTGCACCTTGCTAGGGAGTAATATCCAGGAGGGACTGCTGAGTGACAAATGCCAAGTACGCAAGGAAATTGATTCTTTTGAGGGGAAGAAAGGGGGTAGGAGGAGCATCAATGTTGCCCACTTGCTTGTACAATACAGAATCCTAGAAAACATTGAGATGGGGGTGGGGGCAGTGGGGTGACCTGGGTAGACTGGGGACAGGCTGGATGGAAAGTCTTCATTAGACTGCTACTACTGTTTTTGGAATCCTGTGAACATGTCAGCAATTTAGAGAAAAATAAGTTAAAAAAAAAAGTGGGGGGCGTCTGGGTGGCTCAGTGGGTTAAGCCTCTGCCTTCGGCTCAGGTCATGATCTCAGGGTCCTGGGATCGAGCCCCGCATCGGGCTCTCTGCTCAGTGGGGAGCCTGATTCGCCCTCTCTCTCTCTCTGCCTGCCTCTCTGCCTACTTGCGGTCTCTGTCGAATAAATAAATAAATAAATCTTTAAAAAAAAAGAAGTAGCGTACCAATATGGAAACATTTCCAAGGTATACTGTTAAGTGAAAAAGCTGAGGTCTAAAACTGTGTGATCTGCCGTGAGCAGTGAATTAAAAGTAAAGGAAAGCACCCTCCTCTGTCCGTCGGTCTGATGTCATGTGAGGAGACAGACCTGAGGAATTCGCCATGGAGGGATTCATGGGGAGGGAAACTGGTGGGCAGGGAGCAAAGACTTGCTCTTCATTGGGCGCTTTTGTTTCTTTTCAATTTTGCCTCAACTGAATTCCCTGCTCCCCCAAGAAAGTAGCGTCATTAATACAGTAAGTACTGGGGTTAGGAACGCCTTAGCTCCCTGCAGGGACGTTCTCAGACCACTGGCACAGTGTGAAAACAAGATGCGGAAGAGCACAGGGGAGATTCAGTCTTAAAAACAATTAAGTTTATGACAGGACGGCATGTCAATTAGACCTCAAGAAAGCTGCTCGCTAACACCACAGAGGGGTCCCTGCATGTGTGTGAGAGTCCAGTGTGGTGCATCAGGATACGTTCTAGGGTGAGAGGCTGGGCAGGGTGGAGAGGCGGGAAGCTGATGTGGGGACAAGCAGCAGCAGCGAGGGGAAGAGGAGAGAATCACCTTAAAAAAAATAAAAAAAAAACCAGGGACGCCTGGGTGGCTCAGTCAGTTGGGCATCTGCCTTCGGCTCGGGTCATGATCCCAGGGTCCTGGGATCGAGCTCCCATCAAGCTCCCTGCTCGGTGGGGAACCTGCTTCTCCCTGTTTCCTCCCAGCTCACCATCTCTGTCACTTTCTCTGTCTCTCTCTCAAATAAACAGAATGTTTAAAAAAGGGGGGAAAAACGTATACATGTGGGGAGCCTGGGTGGTGCAGCCGGTTGAATGGCGACTTCTGGTCTCAGCCTGGGTCACGATCTCACATTGTGAGATTGAGCCCTGCCTTGGGCTCTGACCTCAGTGCAGAGTCTTGCTTGGAACTCTCTCTCCCTCTGCCCCTCCACCCTAAATTAAATAAATCTTAAAAAAAATGTGCATGCGCGCGCACACACACACGTATATAAATAACCCACCACTTGCTGTGCTGTTGCTAAGTGCCAGGTCCCTCTTCTAAGCACGAAGTCCACAGTCCTCACTGCATCTCACCCCCAGGAGACAAACACTAGGGTCACCTCCAGCTTCCAGTGCAGGATACTGGGCACAGTGGTATGACATTCTGGTAGTGGCAGAGCCCGTGTTCAAATCCAGGTCTACCTGCCTCCATGGGCTCGGCATTTCCTGTTCTCATTCTCATTGTCCTCGAGAAGAAACTGAGGCTCAGAGTGAAAAGACCCATTTGCGGTCACATTAACAGTGTGTGGCAAAAACATTCTAGACTTACGCTTTGCCACACTACTTCCCAAATGCTACCTGAAGTCTGCAGGATATATGTTTACTGAGCATTTACCACATGAGCTACTGAGCCAAGGACTCTTCCTACAGAAATCCTCAATCCTCACCACCATTCTGCGAGGGCTATTTTTATGAGGCCCTTTTTGCAGACAAGGACACTGAGGCCCAGAAAGGGAAAAAACCACTCACTGTTCCGTCTGGCCGGAACACTCGGACCCCAAGTGAAGCTTGCTCCTTCACTGTATCTAGGTCTGATCGTCACGGCCTCTTCCTGTGGGGCCTCTCGCGTTACAGTCTAGGGCAGCACCTCCTTCCCAGCACTCCAAACTCTCACTTGGCTTTTCTTTTTTTTAAGATTTTATTCATTCACGATAGGGAGCAAGAGCAAGCACGAACTGGGTCAGGGCAGAGGGAGAGGGAGAAGTAGACTCCCTACCGAGCAGAGACCCTGACGCAGGGCTCAATCCCCTGACCCCAGGATCATGACACGTACATGGGAGCAGATGCCCTCCAATGGAGTCACCCAGGCGCCCCTAGCTTTACTTTTCTTATGACAAATTATTTACGTGCCCACTGTCGGCTTCCTGACCTACAGCGTAAGTTCTCGGAGTACAGGACCCATCTTTGCTTTAGTCACTGCTGTCTCTGGACCCTAAAACAAGTACTGGGCACGGGTACTCTACGTTATAACGGCAAAAAGTGATGAAGAGCTTCCTGCGTGCCCGAGGCTGTACTGCTGATGACTTCACTACACATCGCATGTATTAAGTCTGCAAGCACCAGAATTAGCGTCATTGTATGGAAGAGATAAAGTTACTTGCTGAAGGTCGCCTAGCTGCTAAGAGGCAGAGCTGGGACACGAATCCAGGAAGCCTGGCTCCCATGTTCGTGCCCAGCACTACTGCACCACACAGCTGGACGGACCGCAAGACATGGCAAGACACCGTCGCACCTTGTGGTCTGCAGGTACTTATGCCCCAGGACTCTGAAAATCTTGACTTCGGGCTCCTCCCACTGGAGCTGGGACCACATCTCTGGGCTTGGACAGAACACGTTCCAGGACCCCCACGCTCACCTGTCAAAGGCCTTCACGCGGCCCAGGAGCTTCTTGTTGTTGCGACAGTTGATGAGCACCTGGGTGTTGTTCTTGACTGACTGCGTGAGCACAGAGAGTGGACCCGTGTTGAACTCTTCCTCCTCCCGCTTCTGCAGCTCCTCTGGGGTCATCTCACTCTTGGGCTTGTTGAGGAGGCTCCTGAGTGGGCAAGCATGGAACCCACAGGTGAGGGGGCCCAGTGCTGGAGCTTGTGTGGTCACACGGCCTTGCACTTGGGCGTCTCCCCAACCTTTCCCCAACACTCCCACCCTCCTGCTCAGTCCCTCTCACTTGCCATCACCTCTCGGATGCTTAACAGACACTGCCAGCCTCACACACCCTCCACTGAGCTCCAGATCTCCCAACCACCCCCAACCTCCTCCATCCACAGCCTTCCTCGTCTCCATCCTTCTAGTTCCCTGGGCAAAAAACTCTGATATCAGTTTGACTCTTCTCACATCCTACATTCAATGTGCCAGCAAATCCTGTCATCTGTCTCTAAAATAGACCCAAAAGCTCACCTTTCTTACCATGGCCTAACCTCCATCACCTCTCTCTTCTAACAGCCTTACTTGCCTCCCTGCCTCCACTCATGCTCCCCAGCGGTCTGTTTCCCGGAGGAGTCCCAGAGGTTGTATCAAAAAGTAAGTCGTATCTTCTCATGCTTTGAAACCCTCCCATGCCTTCCATCTCTTTGTAAAAGATAAAATCCGAAGTTTTTACAATGCCCTGCATCTGCCCATCCCTCTGGTCCACCAGTGGCCTCCTAGGTGGTCCTTTAAGGTATCAGGCAAGCTTTCACCTTGGGCCTCTGCATTTGCTTTCCCTCTGTCTCTACCCTCCCCAGATATCTCGGAGGATCTCAGGGTCTTCAGGTCTTTGTTCAACTGTAGCTTTCTCATTGTGTCCTGCACTGGTTATTAAGCTACTCTCTCTCAAAACTGGCACACCCCATTGCTTTTACCCTGCTCTATTGTTTCTTTACTCACAGCTCTGGTCACCTAACACGCCCTATGCTTTATATGTTATTATCGGTGTATTCACTGCCGGCCTTTTCCCACCCCCGAAGCTGCGGCTGGGGAGATTTTTTTTTCTTATGGGGCACGGGTGGTATTCACTGATGTATCCCACGTGTCTAAAGCAGTGCCCGATAAGGGATTGCTCAATAAATAACTGCTGAGTGAGTAAATAAATCAGGAAAGTCATTTCGGCGACTCGTGAGCTGAAAAACTCTGGAATGAGGAGCCAACCGCCTCCCGCTCAAACTGTCCAGAAAAGTCCCGCACCTAAAGCCGTTATTTCTAAAACTCCACAGTCCCGTTTCCCAGGTTCTTTGCTCCCCCTTAAAATCCGTTTCAGTAAGACCAATTATCTGGGAAATCCTAGCCCGTTAACGGATAAAGATGCCTTCTGTCTCGAACTCAGGACCCGTCAAAGGCCCCACGCCGGTCCTCAAACTCGTCAGGAGAAAGGTGCGTACTTTACCCCTAAAATCTCTATCCTTGTCCCGCCTCTGCCCGCCACCGGTAAGCGGCCACATTTACGTCCTCAACTCCACTCCCGCCACCAAAGCCTAGCCCGGCCTCACATGGTAACAGTGGCCGCGGTTCCTGATCAGCACCGTCTCCTCCGCGTTGCGGCTGCCTCTGAAGGGAGAGCGACAGGCGGGACTTCCGTTTCCGGCAGCTCACTTCCGCTGGCGCCTGCGCGATCCCAACCTGCGGAGGCGTGGCCTGTTGCCATAGCGACCCGCGCCAGCGCCGCGCAGAGGTGGGGTGGAAGCATTGCCTAGTAGTTCAAGGTGCTGCGGGACCGTACGGGGCAGATATTCACGACAATGGAGAGAAGGAAAAAACGGATTCGACTCAAATCATTTCGTTGTAGAGCGGCACAGGTTGAAGGAGGGAAAGGACACCCCTTTCCAAATGCCCGCCGGCCCGGCCTTCGGGGGCGCGGCCTCCCCGAAGCCAATCGGCTCCTTGCTTCAGGGACGGACACCGCCCCTTCTCCTTCAGGGTCCGTTCTAATACGTGTCTATTGATCTTTCCGACTCCGAGTAACCAATCCTTTGCCTTCGTACGGGAGGGGCGTGGACCTGCACCTGGGTCCAATGTTTTCCACGATCAAACATTTCTCATTGGCTTCCTTTCCTCCGCTGGGGCGGAGCCTACCCCTTTCGCGCTCCCTTTTGGGGTTGTGCTACTCTCAGGGGAACCAACCCCAAAAGCCCCAGGGAGACAAGGAGGCGTGTTCTCAGGACCACAGTCCCCATTGGCTTCACTGACCGAGGGAGGGTGGGATGGTGCAGCCGCTCTTCTTGTTCATTGGTCCGGTGATTCCATGGGGTGGGATTTGGCTGGGCCTAAACTATCCGCGGTCAGAGACCGGTTTTTGGGCGAAGCTGCCATGCCTTCCGGGGGCCGCGGGCGGTCCCGGCTGCGGATCGGGGAACGTGGCCTCTTGGAGCCACCCTCACCGCCCAAGCGCCGCCTGCTCCCGCGGGCGCATTTCTTGCCCCTGCTTCTGCTGTCCCTGGCCGTGGCCTCGGCGTTCTACACCATCTGGAGCGGCTGGCTCCGCCAGACTGAGGAGCTGCCGCGGGGCCGGGAGCTGCGGGTGAGGCTGGGCAGGGACAGGGGCACCGCAGGAGCCCTCGATCCCCGCCTCCCCTTCCCTGCGGTCTCAGGTTGACGTGGCTGTATCGGATGGCCCCAGCCGCAGGTGCTGCGGTCTCCATCGTTAGAGCGCATGCCCGTTGCGAAAGAACTGAGGCTTCGGGCTTATTCTGCAATAGGTGGTTCTCCCGAAGAGGAAGGGTCGGGAGTAGTAAGACTTGGGAGTTCTGGGTTCTAATCCGAAAGTCAGCTATTTGGAAGAGTCCTTCCTCTCTCTCGGCCCTGATTTCCGCGTCAGGAGTGGGGTGGGCTGGACCTCAGGGGCTTACAGGGACTTCTCCGGAGTCTAGCATTTATCCTGGAAACCTCCAATGCTGGAGTCTCGAATTAGGAGGAAGAACCGGGGTTTCTTAGGGGCGATGGCGTCCGGGTTGGGGTCGGAAGGGAGGTTGCTCTCACGCTCAGCTCTTCCCTATCCCATCCATTCCTAAGGGCCGGTTGATCGGAAGCCTCCCCGAAGCTCGGCTGCGGAGGGTGGTGGGGCAGCTGGACCCAGACCGTCTCTGGAACACTTACCTGCGCCCCCTGCTGGTTGTGCGGACCCCGGGCAGCCCCGGCAATCTCCAAGTCAGAAAGGTAAGGGCCCCCACCTCCAACCCCTGGCCCCGCAGCCTGCCAGGGAATAGGAAATAGGCATTCTTCCCAAGATCCCCCAAGCAGCTAAGACGCAGAGCTGGGACTCTGACTAGAGCTAACCTGAATCTAGAGTCCCACGTTGGTAACCACTAGGCTGTATTGTTGTCTGTACTCCCCGCCGAAGCTTACTGTGTGCTAGGCAACAGCTCTATGAGGTGAGCACCCATGTAATCCTCACTATGAAGATGGAAACTGAGGACCGGAGCAGTTAGGCATTTTGGCCAAATCAAGAGCTAATAAATGTTATACCTAGGGTTTCAATCAAATTACAGATTGGCTCCGGGGCTGGCACACTCCCAGAAAGCATCTAGTCATTTGAAGACTTATCCCTAGAGTTCAGATCCCACCTCAGCCACTTGGGAGTGTGACCTTGGACTAGTTTCTTAACCTCTCTGTGCCTCAGTTTTCTCAGCTATGAAATGGAGCCATCGACAGTCCCTATTCCTACAGGCTTCCTAGAACAGGGCTTGGCACACAGAGAGTGCTATGGACGAGTGAGCTGGGATTAGCCTTGGCGTGGAGAGGCAAGGTCATGACACACCTGGCACTCAGTAGGCCCTCAGCAAAAGCGTGTCAAGGGAATGACTTAAACCAAAGTGGGGATTAGGAGTCAGCCCAAGTGCTCTGCATGGCTCAGGTCACATGGCCCTTCTTCCAACCTCCTCCCCAGTCCCTACCCACCCTCCCACCTCTCTCCTGCCGCTAGTTCCTGGAGGCTACTCTGCGGACCCTGACTGCAGGCTGGCATGTGGAACTGGACCCTTTCACGGCCTCGACACCCCTGGGGCCACTGGACTTTGGCAACGTGGTGGCCACGCTGGACCCAGGGGCTGCCCGTCACCTCACCCTTGCCTGCCATTATGACTCCAAGCTCTTCCCATCTGGGTCGACTCCCTTTGTGGGGGCCACGGATTCGGCTGTGCCTTGCGCCCTGCTGCTGGAGCTGGCCCAGGCCCTCGACAGGGAGCTGAGTAGAGCCAAGGAGCAGGTGAGGAGTGGGGGGAAGGGTGGGAGACCGGGGCTGCCTCGACCCTAGTCCAGGCCCCCAACCCTCCCTGCCTGGACTTGTCTTTCTATCTCCGTTCCATACTTGCAGTCACAGGGATCTTTCCCTCCCCTGAGTGTCAGATCCCGTTTCCTCTCTGCCCAAAACCCTCCCATGGCTCCCACCCCATTGGAGACATAAGCCAGAGTTCTAATAGGGGCCGTGAGTCTCCTCTCCCTCCCATGTCCCTCCTAACCCCGCTCTAGCCACCCCTCCACTTCCTCCGCGTTCCTCGGACTTACAGGGCTCACTCCCACCTGAGAGCGTTTGTACCTACTGTTTGGTCTGGCTAGAACGTGCATTTCACAGACATCTTCCTGGCTGGCTCCCACCCTTCATTCAAGTGTCCACTCCTGTCACCACCTCTGAGATGGTTTCCCAGCCGCCCTGAGAGAGCCCCGTCAGTATCCCAAGCCTTTATGGTGTTTAATGTGGATGTGTTTGTCCGTCTGCCCAGCTAGATCAAAATCCCTCAGGCCGGGATTTGGGAGCTCTTGTCTTCTGCTGTATTCCCTGAGTCCAGAAGATTACCTGGCAGTAAATTACGTCAAGAGAAATGTGTAGGATTTGCAAATGAAAGAAAGTGCAAAAAAAAAAAAAAATTAAAAAAAAAAGAAAAAATGAAATGAAATGAAAAAAAAGAAAAAAATTAAATTAAATTAAAAAAAATAAAAGAAAGCACAAATGTCCTCCTGCTTCTCCCCTGCTCAGACCCCTTCCGTGGTTCAGACCCCCTCAGGCCTCTTCACAAAGCTCTCTGGCTCTGGTGCCAACCCTTGGCCCTATTGCTTCTTGCCTGGAAACACTCACCCCTCTGCCCCGTTTTGTCAGGCCAGCCCCCACTCACCTCCGTGCAGACGTCCCTTCCCAGCAGACCCAAAGTGCTCCCCGGGCCAGGTTATCCCCCACTCCCTTCCCGTGTTCTTTTGGAACCCCAGAGTTCTTGGAAGCATTCGTCCCAAGCGCATTTCACTGCGTAATGATTCGTCTGTGGGTCCGTCTCTTCTGTTAAAGGAGCCTAGAGAATAATAATAATAATCAGAGCCGCTCCTTCTTAGTTACTATATGCCAGGCGCTGTTCCAGGACCTGGATTTGCACCCTATGATTTGCACCTTATGATTAGAATTGTTATTAATCCCATTTTGTCATCTGATGCCTTGAGAACTTAGTAACTTACCTGTAAGTTACTGCTCGGCTACGAAGGGGCGGAGCCAGGATTTGAACCCAGGTGGTCTGGCTCAGGTTCCGCACTTCTGGCCCCCACGCTCTGCAAGTGAGGAGACCTAGTTTGCCCTATTCAGTGGTGCAGGCAGGCAGGAAACGTGGACGGGTCGAGGCCGAGGGCTGGAGCCCAGCTGGCCCTGACCCCCGGCTCCCACAGGAGGCCCCGGTGACTCTGCAGCTGCTCTTCTTGGACGGTGAAGAGGCCCTGAAGGAGTGGGGGCCCCAGGACTCCCTCTATGGCTCCCGGCACCTGGCCCAGCTCATGGAGTCTGCCCCCCACAGCCCAGGCCCCACCAGGATCCAGGCTATCGTAAGACCAGGGCCCCCATTGGGTTCCGGTGAGGGCGGGAGAGGGCGACACAAGGTTGGCGATAACCCACCCGGCCTCTCTCTTCCTAGGAGCTCTTCATGCTTCTCGATCTCCTGGGCGCCCCTAATCCGAACTTCTACAGTCATTTCCCTCACACAGCCCGCTGGTTCCATCGGCTGCGGAGCATCGGTAAGCATGAAGGTGGGGGGCGGGCACTGGCCTGGGATGCTGGAGGAACAGCCAGGCGGGGCGGGTACCTGTTCTCTGAGGGGTCATCCAGCCGCCCTCCACCTCCCTGCTGTCTCTCTAAGGGCAGAAACACACAAAGATCCCACGGCAATCAAGTGTGGTGATTCCACACAGGCCCTGGGGTCCAGTAGCCTTGGCTTTGAATTCTGGCTGTGCCTCTTCCCAGTTGGGTGAACCTGGACTAGTGGCTTCATCTCTCTGAGCCTCCATTTCCTATCTGTAAAATGGGCACGATGATAACGATAGTAGGGGGATCTACCTTCTAGGCTCAGAGGGAATAGAGGAGACCGGGAACACAGCACCATGGTAAGGGTTAGCAAACTGCATCCCTGTGGGCGTGATCAGTGTTTCACCCCCAGCCCCCCTGCCCTGCCCTGGCCCTGGTCTGTGAACAGGGGACCCTTTGACCCTGAGAGGCTGACCCTTGCTTTCTAACCCCCACCGCCACCAGAGAAGCGACTGCACCGCCTGAACCTGCTACAGTCTCATCCCCAGGAAGTGATGTATTTCCAGCCGGGGGAGCCCCCTGGCTCCGTAGAAGATGACCACATCCCCTTCCTCCGTCGAGGTACTTGCTGTGGAGGCGGGGGTAGGGGGGCGGTGTCCAAGGGAGGGACAGGTGGGATCTGGATCTGGCCCCTTCCCAGGGTCGGGGACTGGTGGCAAGTTGCTGAACATCTTTGTGCCTCGACTTTCTCATCTGTAGAATGGGGGCACTAAGAGCCCCTACCTCAGACTTGTTGAGGGGACCGAATGAGCTCATCATACACGTACAGACATTACTTGCCCAGTGCCTGGCCCACAGTAAGCATTCAGAGAATGTTAGCTACTACTGGCGGTGCCTCAGTGAGCACAGATTCCAGTACTTGTCTTTCAAGGCCCTGCGGGAGCCCCGCAGAATCACGGAGGAGCTTCCAAAAATGTCCAGTTGCGTTTCAGGCGTTTTTCATTTCACTGACCCACAATCTCGGGTCTCTGAGTTAGTTTTACAAAACTCCCAGATGATTCTGCCACACAGCCAGGGTGGAAGACATCTGGTAGAGGGGTTCAGAACATAGGTTTTAGAATAGGACAGACTGGGGCGCCTGGGTGGCTCAGTGGGTTAAGCATCTGCCTTTGGCTCAGGTCATGATCCCGGGGTCCTGGGATCGAGCCCCGCATCAGGCTCCCTGTTCAGTGGGGAGTCTGCTTCTCCCTCTGCCTGCTGCCCCTCCTGCTTGTACTCTCACTCTCTCTGTCAAATAAATAAAGTCTTAAAGAAAAGGGCAGGGGAGCTATTCATAAAGAGAAAAAGAGCCTAATAATATACCTGGCAATCTGAGGTCAAAGACATCTTTCCCTTCTTCTGGTCTTTGCATAACCCCATATGTTTTGAGTTTCTCTAGTTGGTGTATAAGAACAATACATGTACTGGATATGTATATATTTTTAAACGAACATGTTGCCCTCACATGCTTAAAATCATCCTTCAGAGTTCTTCAAGTGCCAGGACAGGGTATCTTCTGGATTGGTGGGGGGGTGAGGCAGGTTTCCCTGGGCCTGGGTCTGGGCTCCTGGGTCGGTCTGACCGAGCCTCCCCTCTCTCCTTCCAGGGGTCCCAGTGCTCCACCTCATCTCCATGCCCTTCCCCGACGTGTGGCACACACCCCACGACTCTGAGGCCAACCTGCACCCCCCCACAGTGCACAACCTCAGCCGCATCCTCGCCGTGTTCCTGGCTGAGTATCTGGGGCTCTAGCCTCCGCGGCTGACGCTGGAGGAGAGGAGCCCAGCCAGGACGTGCCAAGGACACATGGAACCAATGGACCTCAGGCCAGGCTACCCCGGGGTATGCTGGCTTATCCTTTTCTTTGGTATGGGTTCTACTTGCGCTATGATTGGAAGACCCTCTTTCCTGTCTCAAGCCACCATTCTTTAAAGACATGGAGGAGTCAAGACCACTGTGGGGGTGGCAGCCAAAGGAATAAGGGCTTAGACCCTGTCCTGGAGGAAGCAGTCGGTTAGAAGGTTAGCAGGGTCTCAGTTTCATGGTTGGCACACCTCAGGCTGGCATCTGGACCGGTCACAGCACCCTGCCAAATGAATTCTCTGTGGCTTGTGTTTTTATGTCCATGGACTGCCGTGTGGGGGTCCACAGGGGATGTGCTTGGACACAGGAACAGAGGAGGTGGAAGCCAATATTTGGGAACTCGAGTCGGCCAGACCCAAGGGCAACAGACCAGTGTTTCTGTGAAACATATTCTACAGAATTAGCATTACGAGGTATTGCATGAAAAAGGGGATCGAAGACACGGGATGAAACATTAAATGAGTTTCTTCGTTGCACAATGTGAATTTTCAAGATTAAGAGGGAGTGCAGTGTTGTCTCCCCAAAGTATTTCACCACCAGAGCCCTTTATGGGGAAGCGCCTAGGGTACCTCAGAAGACACTTTGGGAAATGCTAGGTTTTGACAGTTCGAGTGTATTCATGGGAGGAATGAGTAAGACGGATTCACTGCCAACGAGTTCTACCAAACCATCCTTTCCTTTTCACTTGTGGGTTGAGGGAGTACTTCCCAACCGAGCTAAGGTTCAGACTCAACGGGGGTGCTTACTACAAAATTCAGACTCCAGGTTCCACCCCAGACCTCCTGAATCAGAACTCCAGGGAGGGGCTGGGACTCTGCAATGAGCCACTGAGGGAGACTCCCGATCAGAGAAGTTGGGGACCTGCTGTCCTTAAGGATACAGTGTGGGGTCTTCCCAGTGGCTTAGCAAACCTACTCAAAAGAAAACCATAAAATGGAGGGCTCTTAGAGAGGGGGTCCTCCTGTGGGGCTCCGTGCCTGCCAGTTTTGTGACTCAGATGGAGCCCTGGTAGGCAGTGGGGAGGCCAGGCCAGGATGGAGGATTACTTAGCAAAGGTGAGCACGGGCCTTCCAAGCCAGCTCGAAGCCTCGAGAGAACTCACGGGCTGAAGCTGAGGGTTTCAAACGAGCGAGGATATGTAGACTTGTCCGTGTTCATGGCTTGCCACAGTAGTTGACCTGTACAGAGCCCCTCCCGCGTCCCAGGCGCCGTGAGCACTTATCAGCTCAGGTGGTCTCCACCCAAGTCCTGAGGTCGGTCCAGTTTCTGGTTCTCCTTTTGCAAAGGAGGCTGTGAGGGCTCAGGATCATGACCCAGTTGTTGACAGAGCCCACGTGCCCACTCACAGCTGCCACTCCTAACCTCATGTCCCGACTCCCAGAGATGACCTGTGCCGCGCCAACAGATGGTTGATGAAGAGTAGCTCCTCCTGGGGCTCTACTCGCTGCAAGCCAGAGCAGGGCAGGTGGGGAGGGAGGCGGGTGTGGGTGCAGGTGAGGGAGGGGAAGAGACTAACGACCTCTTAGAGGTGGAGGTGACACGAGTCCCGAGTTTAGAATGGGAAATTGACAGACATCAACAGCAAGGGTGGCAAGGCTCCCCAACCACAGGAACGGCTCCTTTGTTCATTCCTCGTGTGGCAGGCGCAGTGGCAGGCACGTGAGAACACCCCGTCTCCCCTTCATCTCACAGCCACCCCAAAAGTAGGCGAGACCATCACCTGTCAGAGACAGGGAGCCGTGTGCTATTAACGCCCTGGGCTCTCGATGTGCGGTTGCGGACCGCACACCGGGCAAGGGGGCCTGATGCACACTTTCCCCTGGAATCTGGGGCAGGGATCGGTAGCCCATTTCACAGATGAGGCTGCTGCGGCTTGGCATGATGTTTTCCCCAGTTCCTGTCTGTCCCCCGGACTTCGCACTCTGACAGGGTCCCTAGGTTTATCTGAGAAGCACAATGCCTGAGCACTCTGGGTGCCAACGTCCCACAAATCCGTGTTTGGAGGGACTGTCAGGATTCCCATTTTTACTTGAAACATCTTCAGAGAAATCAGTGGCTGCAGATCACGTGTCTAGGCACTTTTCTTCAAAATGCATTCGCTTACGATGCATTGGGCTAATCGGTGTCATTCATCAGTCTGGAATTCGCGACCATCCTGTCTTAAAATATCATCTTTGCATCACTGTCTCTTCCGATTCTAGAAGGTCAACTGAATGTGTGTTATAGACATTCTCACTCTATCTTCCATAACATTCTTTTCTATTTTCTTGTTTGTTTGTTTCTGCCTCTGTGCTCCTTTTTGGACCTAGCTGTAGTTCAATCAGTCGTTTTTTTCACTTGTGTCTGATTTGCTGTTGAGCTCAGCCTCTGAGTTTTTACTTTGGGTTCTTGTGTCTGGGGCTTTTTCCCTTTCCCATCTGCTAGGCCATTATTTAGTTCTGGGTGGCCTGCAGAGATCTCCAAGCTCTTTTACACGTTTGCCCTGCTCGCAGAAAGCAGAGCGATCCTGTGGAAATTTTCGTAATCTGTTAAGTGCAGAATATCCCCCACTTTCCAAGTTTGTCACGCCGCTGCACTTCCACAAAAGACCTTAGGGGATGCCTGGGTGGCTCGGTCGGTTAAGTGTCTGCCTTCAGCTCAGGTCATGATCCTGGGGTCCTGAGATCGAGTTGCTCAGCAGGGAGCCTGCTTCTCCCTTTGCTTCTGCTCTGACAAATAAACCTAAAATGCTGACAAATAAACCTAAAAACAAAAACAAGGGGCGCCTGGGTGGCTCAGTGGGTGAAAGCCTCTGCCTTCGGCTCAGGTCATGGTCCTGGTGTCCTGGGATCGAGCCCCGCATCAGGCCCTCTGCTCAGCAGGGAGCTTGCTTCCTGTTTCCTCCTCTCTCTCTGCCTGCCTCTCTGCCTACTTGGGATCTCTGTCTGTCAAGTAAATAAATAAAATCTTTTAAAAAATAATAAAAATAAAAAAATAAAAACAAAATAAAAGCAAAAACAAACAAAAAAGCCCCACACACCCTACCTTAGTACCTGTTCTCACTAACAGAAAAAGATCCAAAAGAGATTTTCAATTCTCTGAAAAAAGCCATTACTGTACTACGGTAGGTCTTTTATGAAAGCCAAGTGGTATAATTTGAGCTTTTGGAAAGTGGGGGAAACCCGTATTCTAATCCGTGACTGGCGGTTTCACCGATCAAAGACCTTGTGAATCTGGTTTTGCTCTGTTGTCTCAGCTGGTTCTTGCTCGTGGTGCTTTATTTCCATGCGTGGAAATAAAGTGACTTGAGTGACTTGACTGTGGGCTGCTCATGGCCTGAAAAATCATTTGTGGGGATTCTAGATGAGCATTCCTTACCCCGGAGGATTTATGTTTGTTTCTGTCAGACAGCTCGGCTCAGAAGTACCCCAAACATAAGGATGACGCCACACACCCGAGCCAAGCTCCAGCCCGTATCTGCAGTCTCAGGGACCACTTTCTTCTCTCCTTTGGTCTTGTGCCCTACTCAGTGTTCAGAACTTCTTCTCCACAGTCTTCCGGGCTGTCCTCCTTACCTGAGCTTGTAGCTTGGTGGGGTCCCATCTCCTATTAGATTCCCCACCTTGGCCCTGCCTTCCGCCTGCTTATCCCAGTAAGACTGCAGAGTAGAAACCCACGTTTGTCGGCACAAGCAAATGCCCTCAGAGCAAAAGTGGCTTCGGGGTTCCATGTCTCTTCCCCTGAAATTTTCGGCGTGGTATATCCTTTAACTGTAGTATATTGGCTAGTTGAGGCTTTTATTATTCTTTTTTTTTTTTTTTTTTTACTACCTTGTTTCAGCAGGAGAATCCAAGTAATCTGGCCCCTCCCTCCAGAGAACATGGAAATCCCACAAAGCCAGGCTGAGACCCAAACCCAGGTCTCTCCGATTCTAAACTCCAAGTATTTCAATAACTACCATGATTGTTCCTAGTCTCTCTGGTCATTTTTATTCCCTGATAAGAACGTTAGAGGCTGTTGGGGCACTTGGATGGCTCAGTGGGTTAACTGTCCCACTCTTTTTTTTTTTTTTTAAAGATTTTATTTATTTGTCAGAGAGAGAGAGGGAGAGAGAGCAAGCACAGGCAGACAGAATGGCAGGCAGAGGCAGAGGGAGAAGCAGGCTCCCCGCCGAGCAAGGAGCCCGATGTGGGACTCGATCCCAGGACGCCAGGATCATGACCTGAGCTGCTTAAGGCAGCTGCTTAACCAACTGAGCCACCCAGGCATCCCTAACTGTCCCACTCTTGATTTTGGCTCGGGTCATGGGACTGAGCCCGGTCTCCAGCTCCACGCTGAGTGTGGCACCTGCTTGGGATTCTCTCTCCCTCTGCCCCTCCCCAGTATGTGCACACAAGTGCTCCCTCTCTTTCAAATAAATAAGTCTTTAAAACAAAGTCAGAGACTGTTAATGACCTCTCACCATTCATTCTTCCCTATTCCTTTATACTTGAATTTTTAAAAATGACTTAATTCCCCTTTTTTTATTTAGAAACTAATTGACTGTTTTGAGGCTTTAATTATAGAGATCTTTAGTAAGTTTTTTTTGTTAGGCATAATGTGCTCAGCTGTAAAACCACATGTCCCAGTCTCCCTGGCAGCCGCTCGATGTGGCTGAGGCTCGGACCAGTGAGATGTACATGTAAGTAGAGTAAAATACTTATGGGAGGCAGGAGCCTTCTCTTCCTGCAAATTGGTGATAGTCAGAATTCTAGCAGGTCCACGGCTGAAGGACGGGGAGCCAGAAGCAGCCTGGGTTCCTGAGGACTTCAAGGCCACCATTATCTACCCACTCGGGATTTCTAAAGAAATGAAAACTATCTTGTTTAAGCTACTACTATTTTGAGATTTTTGAATCCAAAATGACACAGATGAAGAGTCAAAAATAATCTCAAGCTAAGGGACTTGGCGAAGGATCCTTCTCCCCATCTCTTCGGGCTCACCATGCAGTGCTCCGTGGCTCCCTTCTCGTCCCAACCCCCTCCCTGAACAACATACAAACCAGTCTGGGCCCAGCCTTATAAATATTGATTTTATAGAAAGGACCAATTCAAAACTGGTCAGATGCCACACACCAGAAGCTTCCAGAAGCACAAGGATGAAAAAAAAAAACCCCAAACAGAACAAATGAAAATACTCCAGCCCAAACTGCCTGAAAAACCAAGGTCTCCCGTCGACCAGAGGATTCTAAAGAAACACACATGGCCGGGGCTGCAGAGACCCCAATGCCTGAACGAGTACCCAGAGTGGAAGGAAAAACAATCCAGAAATTCAAAGCCACAGTCCCTGCCCACCGGCCCCCCACGCTGTCAAGAGCGAGGCAAAGGGCTTCACAGCTTTTTGGAGGGGGGGAGGGGGAGAGAAGTGATGGCAACAGCTCAGTAAGGGGAGGAGGGGAATCTTTATACTTCTACTTTTTGTTGTCATCGTTCTCCTCCCCTTCAGGGGAAGTGAAGAAACCGGTAGCTTTAGGTTAAGGAGAAAACAGTGATTTTTATTATCTTAGTGGGGGAAAACATCTAGAAATGGCAGGCTGCCACGAAAAGTGTCACCTCGGATCTGCGATCTCAGTGGCCCCCAGTTCCTAAAGAGGAGATGAGCCCTGGTGTGGCAGGTCAGAGGCGGTAACAGCCTTGCACCCTGCAGCCTCTCAGAACACAGCTCCAGAGACAAAGAACTGGGGTGGGCAGGGGGCTGGGGGGGGGAGGGAGGAGCGGGCGGAAGGGGGCCAGAATGGGGGAACCCTTGCGGAGTACCAAAATTAGCTGCCTTCTGCTCCCTGCTGGTGGGTCCCTGGGATGTAGAGGGCAGGGAGAGGGTTGGGGGCTGAATGGAGAAGTTGTTGAGATGCTGATAAAAAAAACCACCCTACTCGAGGGTCTGCGGCCCTTGGTCTGAAAAGTAGAAAACCAACAGGGGTCAGTGGATCAGAGTGCTTTCTCGATCATCCCCCTGAACCCCGTCTCAGTTCCAGAGGGGGATCAACGCTGCCTGGACTGGGGGGACGGGCTGGTGACCCAGACCTGGCCCTTGGCTCCCGGGGGGGGGGGAAGGGGGAGGGGCGGGCATGGTGGGCTCTCCCCACCCCCTTCCCCGGCTTCACCTCCCTTCCTCGCGGCCAGGCCGGCCCCCGCCGCCGCCCGGCCCGTTGCAGGGCAGCACCCAGTTGTTATCATGCAGACCCAGGCGGCAGCCCGGAGTCTCGCGGTCAGCTCGGCGGCAGCACATCCAGTAGGAACGTCCGTAAGGCAGGTCGTGGTGGTAGGGCTTGGGGTGCCAGCGGCAGAGCGACACATCCCCCTTCTCGTATCTCTTGCGGCACTGCTTGCAAGGGTCATCACGATAGAGTGGGTCTCGGCTCCAGCGCGAGTCTGTGGCCCGCACGCCAAACGCCTCGATGATGCCCTTGAAGTGGTGGCAGGTGCACTTGAGGGCCGCCAGGGCCCGCGTGGGCAGGAAGCTGAAGATCTTCACCAGCACGTGCTCGGGCAGCAGCAGCATGTACTGTCGCGGCTCCAGCAGCCGCTGGATCTTGAAGCGGATCTCCAGGAAGTCGTGGGACACGTGCCGGTATAGGCGGCACAGGGACGTGTCCGCAGTCCCCTCGGCATCGTCCGGGCCCGGCACGGTGGCCGGGGAGTCGGCTGGGGGGGGGCTCGGGGGGCCCGTCTGGACTGCGGGACTGGAGGAAGAAGAGCTGGCCGGGTGGGGGCGGCTCCTCGGGGCTGACCGTCAGGCACACCGTCTCCTCTTTCACATTCTTGGTGCCATCCTTGCCAAAGAAGATGCACTCATCCACCACCCCCGTCACCACCACATCCACGTGGAAGCCTGAGGCTCCGCAGTCCCGGGCAGGGGGCGGAGGGGGCGCCGGTGGAGTGTCCTCAGGTCTGGCAGGGACGGGCGTCTCCCCCTCGCTGGCCTCATCCGCCCGAGCCAGGAGGAACTCCACGTTGCTGGGGAGGGCATCCCGGGAGGGGCTGATGAGCTGGTACAGGTCGCAAGTGATCTTGTCCTTGGCCCGGGCCCCAGGGCCTGGGCTGCCCGGGTAGGCACAACCCGGCCGGCCCCCGCTCCCATTGGACAAGCTGCCATCGGGGGTGCGGGGCTCTCGGCCGTTAGAGATACGGAAGGCGATGCGTACCTCCCCGGGGCCCGGCCCAGGCCTCTCCTCTTTGCGGAGGCCTTTGGCTGGAGGGCTGTCCCGCTGGGCCTCGAAGTGGGCCACCGCCTCGGCTACCCGGCTGCAGTCCCCGCCACCGGAGCGCCGTTCAGACCCCAGCCCCTTGGCAGGCCCACCCTGCTCAGCTGACACGAAGACCACAGGCGCCGGGGTGCCCGGACGCGGGTAGTTCTGCAAAGCCAGGGCGGCCCGCTGTTCCACCAGTGCCACCATCTCTGCCACAGAGAGCAAGTCTACGTCTTCGCCAGCCGAGGCTGGGGCCCCCTCAGCTGCAGGGGGCGCCTCTGGGCCCCCTGGGTCCGGGGGAGCCTTTGTAGGCTCAAGACAGCGCCTCCTCCGCTTGGCCTTGGAGCTGTCACTGCCCCAGTGCCCCTTGACCTTCATGGAGCTGGCCCGGCTGCCCCCACCACATTGGTGGGCCACAAAGAAGGCCACCTTCTCCTTTGTATTCCCGGGCTTGATGACATACCATGTGTCCAGCAGGACTCGCCCCTCATCGCCAGCAGCTGCTGCTGAGAGGAGAGGGGCCGGCTGGGAGGCAGGGGCCTCTGTGGCCAAGGTGGGTGGGGTGTTCTCGGAGTGGGCAGGCCCGTGGTCTGGCTCAGCCCCGCTGCCAGGCTCTGGGCAGGCTGACGGCTTGAGGGCTGCGGTAGGTGGGCGTGGCTGGTTCTGTGAGTAGGTGCCAAAGGGTCGGGGGCACCACAGCTGGAAGGGCAGGAGGCCGCCGCGGTCCATCCTGGGGAGCGGTAGCAGACAGGCAGGCGTTCACCGCATTTCAGGCCCTGGATGGTCAGGGAAGGCTCCGCGGGCCACCTGGAGACAGGGAAGAGGATGTTGGGGAGCTGGGGGGAAGAGCCTGCCCTCCTCCTCCCGCCCCAACCTCAGTTTCTGAGGGGACAGACCAAATGAGCCCACTAAGAACTCTCTTGGTGACCCACCACACAGGTAAGCAAGTGGAGGGCAGAGGGAACAAGGGCTGGTTTTTAAACACTTAGAACAGCAGTGCCTGGGTGGCGCAGTGGGCTGAGGGTCCGACTCTTGGTTTCGGCTCAGGTCATGATCTCAGGGTCAAGAGATCGAGCCCCATGGCAGGCCCCTCACCCAGCATGGAGTCTGCTTGAGGTTGTCTCCCTCCCCATCTGTTTCTCCCCTGCTGGCTTGAGCCTGTGCTCTCTTTCTTTCTAAATAAATAAAATCTTTAAGTAAATAAATAAAACACCCAGAATGTAACAAGCTGGCAGCTTGTTCCAACCCTGCAGGTCATACTCCACGGTCCAAATGCCTTCACTTACGATCCAGGGGCCTTCTGCGGCCATAACTCTGAACTTAAGTGAAAGTACCAAATGACAGACAGTTCATCCTCCTTCCATGTGCTCACCCAGTAGCCTGTTCCTGAAAAGACAAGAATTCCCAGCCCTGCCCACAGCTATGGCTACTTGAGCCCACAGAGGAAGGAATGAGGTAGGCTGGGCAGGGGAAGAAAATTTGAGGTCAGAGCCAGCCAGGCGCTTAAGAAACCGGCTCTTTGGGGTGCCTGGGTGGCTCAGACGGTTGAGCATCCGACTCTTGGTTTCAGCTCAGGTTGGGATCTCAGGGTCATGGGATCGAGCCCTGCATCAGGCTCTGCACTCAGTATGGAGTCTGGTTTTCCCTTTCCCTCTGCTCCTCTCCCCCCCGCTCATGCGCTCTGTCTGGTGCTCTCTAAAATAAATACATAAATAAAATCTTGAAAAAAGAAAAAAGAAATCGGCTCTTCACTTTGCTTGAGTCCCGGGGCTCCCTGAGAATTGCACCCACTTGCACAAGACTGTGTAGGTAATGAATTCCCGTAGCACAGGCACAGACCTGTGGGATAAGAAGGCCTGTTCTCATCTAGTTTCCTCTTCAAGTTGCCCGCAGGTAGATCGAGTGGGGAAGGGTTACTTATCATAAAACCAGGCCCTGAAACTTGGTTTCAGGACTCTTCAGTTCAGGGCTCTCTTAACAATGATCATTTTATTTTGCAACGACTGTGTGTGACCTAATCTGGAGGCAATTCTGCTAATGAGTATGACATGACCACTTTCCACTGCAGGACTAACAGGCGGCATACTCCTCCATCTGGATCATTTCCTGGGCCCATCTCCCTCCAGGCATCTTCAAACATAAATACGCTCCAAACCTCAAATCTTCCACATGGCCATAGATCAGCGGTCAGCAAACTATGGCCCACTGCTTGTCTTTGCCAATAAAGTTTTACTGAAACGTGTGCTCATCTACTTACAGCTGCTTTCACGCTACAATGGCAGAATAGTTGCAACAGAGGATGTATGGCCTTGCAAAGCCTAAAATACTCATTATCTGGCCCTTTATAGTAAAAGTCTGTTTACCCCTGCAGTATATACTGATCCCACCTATTGATGGCTAAGTTTACCATCCACCAACACATCTGAATGCCCAGGAATAGACACAAACACAGCAAAAGCCGTTTTCTGTAGTTACTATCTCTCTACAACTTGGCTACCACCTGAAATCCTCCAATTAGTTCCTACCCTTATCTCCAGAAGATAAATGCCCTCCTTGAAATACCTAGACCCTTTCAAATCCTAATTTAAACTTCCAAACCTATTAATATCCCCTCCAACAGAAGGCCCCTATCTCAAGGAACGCCTCCCAAATCCCAAGTCTACCAAGAACTCCAACATACAATGCAATCTCCCAACCTCACACATGCCCCAAAAGACCAGTTTCCTGAAATCCTACACTCCTCTTCAAACACTTTCTAAATCTCCACACGTATGTCCTAAGAGAAGCCCCCCTCCAAAAAAACAAAACAAACACAAAACAAAAAACAAACCCCACATAACTCACAAAACGTAAAAGCTCCTTAGCACATAAGACTAATTCCAAACCATACATTTATCGAAGCCCAAAACGCCCCCCCCAAACACTCCTAAAGAATCCTCATCAATGGCAATGTGCAGATTTACTGCATTGCTCACTGCAGCTTATTAGGTACTGTTCTAAAGATCCCTGCTAATCCTCCCCAGTCTCCTTGAAGCAGGTAGTATCTTAGTCCCAGTGTCCAGATTTGAGACACAGAAAGGTTTAACCCCAAATCACGGGTCAGACACGTAGGAAGGACTAGATAAAGGCGAAAGCCCAGGCACTATGGCTCCAGACTTGACACTCCTGGATTCTTTAGTTTGCTTTTTTGTCTGCCCATGAGCTGCCCAAATCACATAACCACCAAACATCCCCAACCGCAAAGCAGACCCCTACAACACAACAGAAACTTCCAGATTACAAAAGAACCCAAACCCAAGCCCCAAGGCTCCCCCTAAGCTCAAGGGAACCCCAAGTATCCCCGACATCCACGCACTACTTCAAGCCCCCAAATACTGCTTAACTGCAAAGGGAGCCCCCCGATTTTGTAACTGCCCCCCAACCCGCCAACCTACTCAGAAGACCCCCGAAACCTAGACACGCCCCCAAAGTACCCTCACCGGTGAGCCCCGCCCCCCCAGCGGTGGGAGAGGGTGGCAACACTCACGCATGCGCTCGAGAGAAGAGGGTCCGCCCCCTCACTCCTTCCCTCCAGACTTCGCGCCGGTAGGCGCGCGACGAGTTTTCCTCCGCCCCTTTGTTGACAGACCCGCGCGTGACGCCCCCAGCCAATGAGCGGCTACCGTTCGGGGCCGTGCCCATATAAGGAATGCCTTGGCGAAGGGGCCTAACTTCGAAAGAGGGAGGAGTAGGCGAGAGGTGAAGGGGGTGTGGAAACAGTGGAGTGTAAGAGAGCGTGAAACAATTCCCAACTCCTAGCTAAAACGGAGGAACAAGGCCCGGACGAGGCCGAGGTATCAAGAAGAGGTTTATTAAACGACGTTCCCTCTAAACAGGAGCCCTGATTGACAGTTGAGATTTAAAGGGCCAGGCAGCTCCGGGATTGAGACTTTTGAGGGCGGAAGGAAACAAGTAGAAAGATAAGCGTCCAGGTTTGGTTGGGAACCCTGAAGACCAAGATTCCCTGCGGGCGTCAAATGGACAGCAGGAGCACTTCATCCTTGAAAAACAAATGGCAGAACCCGCGTCGACTCCCTCCACACTGCGTTCAGCGTCTGGGCTTGGCATTCAAGGCTCAGACTGTATGGCCAAACGCACCTATACGTTCAGCCTTTTCCAACCATGAGCCCCAAATCCGACTCAGACTTAGTACAAGAAAAGAATATCAAATACCCCGACAATGCTTTTTAAATATTAATTACCTGTTAAAATGATAATACTGGGGATATAATTTAGTTAAATAAAATACTTAAAATTAACTGCATCTCTTGACTTTTTAAAATGTGGCTACCGTAAGATTTTAAATTACACATACGGCTTGCTTTGTATTTCTACTGAACAGCGCTGTCTAGATCCTTTCAATGCCAGGCAGATTCTAGAGACACCCAAAGGGGGCTCCATGGCAGGAGTCACCCGTCTCCCCACCACCCCGCCCCAGCCTTGCCTGCTTCTAACCATCCTGCAGGTCACAGCCAGAAAGGTTTTCTTAAAGCACAAACCTGACCCTCTCCCTACCCTGTTCAAAACCTACCATGACTCCCCAGTGCCTTTGGGAAAAAGCCCAGGTACCCAGCCCTCCGCCCTCGCCACTCCTCCACACCTTCAGTGGGCCCAGATGGGCACCAGATCTGGCACAGAGAGTAGAGTACTTAGGCCTTGTCCAATCCTCAGCAGAAGCTATTATCCTCTCCATTGTAGGGACAAAGGAACTGAAGCAGGACAGGCTGCCCACAGAGAATGGGTGTGAGTTGGAGCAGAGATGTGAATCCAAGGAATCTGATTCGGACCGCTGTGCTCTGTTGTTGCTTTGCTAAACATTGTATGGCGCCCTACTTCAGCTGTTCCCTCCTCCAAGAAGCTGATCTCCCCACAGCCTGGGTCAGACTCCATCTCTGGGCTCCTCCATTGGCCTCCCGGCTTTTTATTCCTCTAGAGTCACCAACCAACCTCTTTCCTTTTGTGGTCTTTGCATTTGCTGTTCCCACTAACTGGAAAGCTTTCCCCTCAGATCTCCACATGGCTCAGTTCCTTATTTCATTTGTGTCTTTGCTCGAACGTAACTTTAACATTAGAGAGGGCTTGCGCGAGTTCCCTTTCTGGAAACCTGCCACCTGTCCAGAGGAGGACCTCTGGGTTTCCGAGTCCCGGCCCTCCCCACTGATCTGTCTCCTCAATGGGACAGTGGACCTAGAAGGGCCAGAACGATCAGGGTCTTCATGGTGTCCCAGCAGCCCCGCCCAGCATGGGACTGAGTGGAGGCATCAAAGCTCCTTCCCCTGGAGCAACAAGTCCTAAACTTTATGGGGCCTGGCCGGGTAAACTGTTTCACACCCAGCTTCTGTCTGGGTCCTAGGTCACCAGGGCAGAATTTTCTAACTTCCCATACACTAATCCCTCCACTAGGTCACCTTTCAGGGAATGCTCTGTGAAGATCCATTTATTGTAAAACATCACGACCCAGAAGGACTGAACGTTTTTTTAAAAATGGAAAAAGACCAGATAAATATGTACCAAGAGACAGAAGAGAAGAGAGACAATTATCATTTAAAAAAAAACAAACAATGGGGGGAGCACTTGGCTGTTTCAGTTGGTAGAGCATGACCTCGGGTTGTGGGTTCGAGCCCCACATTGAGTGTGCAGATGACTCAAAATAAAATCTTTTTTTCTTTAAGTTTTTATTTATTTATTTATTTTTGTCAGAGAGAGAGAGCGCATGCAAGCAGGGGGAGCAGCAGGCAGAGGAAGAAGCAGGCTCCCCGCTGAGCAAG